GGGGGGGGGGGGGGGGGGGGGCGCGGCAGAGGGGCGGTGGTGAAGTCACGCGAAGGGGAAGAGGCAGGCCAGGAGGGAATGGGTGATGGGGGGTGTGGAGAGTAGGAGAGAGGGAACGCCGGGGAGGCTTGAGAGTTGGGGTAGTGGGAGGGGAGGGTGGGGGAGGGAGGGCGACGGAGGGGGACCTCAGAAAAGGGCTGGAGGAGCCGACACGCGTGACATCACTGCTGGATGTGCTGCCTTCACGAGCATAGCCATGGCCCTTGAAACGCTTGGAAGCATTCCAACACAGTCCTGAGTCCACACTGCAGCCAGGACTGCGGCCCCCGGTCTGGCGTAACGTCAAAAGGGAGTACAGGGCGGCCCTCAGGCTGGGGGCGGCCTGGCACGGCAGGGTGCAGCTCGGGCGCCGGGGGCTCACCACGCTCTGCGGCCGCATCGCCACCTCCTCGCCGGCCGCCCATGCGCGGTCCGCCTCTGCCTGCTGCCGCGGCGTCGAGCCAGGAAACCCGGGCTGGTCGCGCGTGGCGCGCCGCTCCGCCTCGTCGCCGCCTCCGCGTGCCGCCTTGGTGCTGCCGCCCGCCGCGACCTCGCCAGCGCCGCCGCTCGCGCCCGCCGCCCGCGAGCGTGTCTGACGCTTTGTGCTGCGGCAGCAGCCGCCAGCCGCCGCCCCGTCAGCTTGGTCCCGGGTTTTGCGCGGCGCGTCTGCGGCGGCGTCGGTGGCGCCTTTGACGGCGACCCCTGCGCTCTCCGCCGCCCTGCGCTTCCTGCCGCGGCCGCCGCTGCTGCTGCATAATACCTTGCACCCCGCCTGCACATCCCGCGTCAAGCGCGTCTCCCTGCCTGCCGAGCCTCCTGCCGCCGACCCCACCGCCGCTGCCAACGCGACAGCCAAGCCCTCGCTGCACTCCTGATCGATATGTGCTCGCGCACTGGGCGCCGCGGCCGCGCCACTTGGGTGGGCCAGGTCGCAGTCAGCAGCCACCCCGCCGTCGTCATCGCCGCCGCTGCTGATGCCGTTGACGCCGTCCGCGCGCATGCCGTCCATGCCGTCATTGCAGTCCATGCAGTCCGTGCCGTCCATGCAGTCCAGGCCATCCATGCAGTCCATGCAGTCCATGCCAGTGTCGCCCTGCTGCCCGTCGCATTCGAACCCGCCCGCGCTAAACGCCAGCGGCGGCGTCGCTTCCACGTCAGCTGCAGCTGTCGCGGCGCCGGGGGCGGCGGGCTCGGGGGTTGCCAGCTCAGCGCCGCCCGCACCCTGGGGTGCGCCGCTGCCGCTGCTGGCGGCCCCCTGTGGCAGGCTGCTGCTCGGCGGGTCGTCCGCACACTCGCGGCCGGTGCCAGCGGCGCGCTGCTGCTGCGGCGGCGCGAGAGGTGCTGCGCCAGCTGCACCCGGCGCGGGCGTGGCGGCGGCAGCGGGCGCCTCGGCGCCTGGGGAGGCTGCGGCGGCGCCAGCGTCGGCGGCGGCGGCCGCGGCGGCGAGGGCCGGGGTGGTGCGTATGCCGCGGAGGGATGGCATGCGCGCGGGCCTGCCCTGGGGCGCGCTGTCGCGCGTCTCGTAGTCGGCGCCCCTGTTTGTGAAGAGGGTTGGTTGATCGGTTTGCGGGGCGTCAGGGAGTGCAGCTGAGGCAGGGAGGCGTCCTTGATGAGCAGGTGACCTGCTCAACAACGTTATCTGACCGGCTGATTACACACTGAGGGGAGTATCAGTTCCTCGGCCTTCACTCAGATTGGACAAGGTCTGGTAGGAATCGGGTGAAGGTGGGTGAGTTCTACACTGGGTGAAGGTCTACAAGGTCTTGTCTAGATTAGGTCACCTGAACACGTGTGCGCGCAGCACGAGGTCTGAGTCCTTCTCAAATACAACAGTGTCCCCGGGAAAC